GGGCTGGTGAGATGGCTCAGTGGTCTAAAGCACCTACTTAGAACAAGCTAAGCTAAGCAAAACACAGGGACTGGGGTTCAATCCCCCAGCACCACATGCCAGACAGCCCCGCCCCCTGGTGGGTTGAGCTGGCCACACACACAAAATGAATGAATGAATGAATGAATGAATGAATGAATAAATAAATAATTCTTTAAAAAAATAAATAAATAAAATAAAAAGTATGGACATATACACTGATAATTCTGCAAGGACTTACTGAAGTAGGTCCTAAATACTGATCAAGTGTTCAACATGGGGAATAAGCTAGTAAGTTATAGCTAACCTAAAAAATCAGACTACCATCCAACCAGTAACACTTCTGTGCTCAAACAGTGTTTAAGGGTACACAGGATCAGGCCCAGGTCACAGATTAGGCAAATATCACAGACTATAAAATCTAATATATAGAGGTTCGATCCCTGGGCCTGCTGGGCCGGCCCTGCCCCCAGGAGGCACTGAGACAGCAATTGAGACTGGCGTGGTGGCCTGTGCCTGTAATCTCAGCTCTTGGGAGGCTATAAACAGGCGGATCACTATGAGCCCCATCTAGTAGTGAGAACCTGAATACCCTGTAGACCTTTCCCTAAAATACAATCAATCAATCAATCAATCAATCAATAAAATAAAATCTAATATATGGTTTAGCAGTTCCTAAGAAGCGATTTCACCCCTAGGTATCAAATAATAATAACAACAATAATAAACAAAAAGACTTAAAACATACATGAAGGCTATTTCTTTTTTTTTGGTGGAACCGGGGAAGAGCCTAAAAGCCTCCATCATGGCATCCTAATACAAGACAAATAGACCTTAATTTAATATTTTATATACACACACACACACACACACACACACACACATACAAAAACAGCTTATGAAACTTCAACAGTATAAAACCCAGCTTATGAAAACCTTCTAGGGGTTGGAGAGATGGCTCAGTAGGATAAGCACTTGACTGGCAAACGCAAGGATCTGAGTTCAATCCCCGGTTCCGCCAAAAGAAAACCTTCTAAAGGTTTTGCAATGGCATTTGCATTTCTCCACGGCCCTCAGACCCATGCACAGGACAGCAGAGGAAGCTGGACTCAGACGGCCCGCTAGGCTGCAGCCAGCTGTGCCCTAGCATGTGGGCTCGGCACGGCCTCAGTCCCAGTGCACCCATCTTCACAACCAGCAGCTGGAGGGAAGGTACAGGAAACAGCCCGCACATCTGAGCACCCCGCAGCCACTCTCACCGAAGGGCAGCTCCAAGTGGGCGCAGCGCTGCCCCGAGCATGCTGTAGGGGCTACCATGAAGGCTGCTTCGGATGTGCTGAGCATTGACACCATGCGGAGCAGATGGAAGTCCTGCAGGTGAGGTTTTACCCAGTTTCTAAAAACACTATTAATGCAGCCAGATGAAATAGTGACAGGGCCTGTTTCGCAGGAACCTAAGGGGACTCACACACCTCAGCGATGCGCAGCAACGTGTCCTCCTGGAAGTGGAACTCTCTCATTTTGTCTTCAATTTCCTGCTGAGTCCTTAAGTTCTTCTCCAAAGCAAATGACGTCTGCTGAGACTGGCTGAGCTGAAGCAAAAGCCTGCAAAACCCGGAAGGTCCATGTGCAGCTCGAGACAGAAGGACAGCCGGGGGTGGGACTGAGGCACCAGGAGACAGAGGTTCTGCCCCCCAGCTCCCGCCCCCTTGACCCTGGAGACTGCTCCCAAGAACCCTCCCACCTGTATGTGCCCCACAGCAGACGATCTCAAAAGGTCACAAGGGCGACACTTCCCATGGAAGGCAACGACTGGAAAGCATAGCAGTTAGAGTAAAAGGCTTTCACTCAGGCTCCTACATAAACATCCAGATTTGCTTCTTCTAGGCTCAGCCTCTACGACTCTTGCAATCCCTGGACTCCATCACTGGAGCTTAAGGACTGGTCAGCTTCACTGGCACATCCCAATTACCCAAAGCGGGGCCAAACCCCTAAGGACCCCCAACCTCATCCCCCTCTCACTCCTCCTGCTGCTGTGAAGGTACAGAGCTTTCCAGTCACCCCAGGCCCTACTGGTTCCAGCTGCTACCTTCAGAGGTACTCAGTTCTCTGTTCACTCACCTCTGCAGAGGAATGCTCAGCTCCAGGCCCAGAGAGACTGGTAAGCAAGAGAAAAGGCCCTACCCCACAGGATGGAAGGTGAGAGACCAGAGGAAAAAAAATTCAGTGGCTAGGCCATGTGCCACACACCTGGGGTCCCAGCACCTCGGAGGCTGAGTTAGGAGGATCCCACTTTTTTTTTTTTAAATGTTATTTAGCACAGGGTCTACAGGATCTCACTGCATAGATCAGACTCGTAGTGATTCGCCTGTTTTGCAGCCTCTCAAGCGCTAGAAATGCAGCCTCTCATGCAGCACCACGCCCAGCCTCAATCACTGTCTCAGTGTGTCTCAGGGGCAGGGATGGCAGAGCACACCAGGGATCGAACCCCCGGCGCTGCACTTTGCCTAAGCAGGCACTTTAGTCCGCTGAGCTATCTAGGCAGGCCC